TTGCCATGATAAGACGGTATAAGAACTTCTAACGGAAAGGGTTTAGACGAATTGCATAAGGGTCAATACTGTTCTCGCTGTTTTTCAGAAACAAAAAAAAAGACTTTTCTACAGGATATTATTCATTAAATCAATAACAGACGTACATGCAAATGGAATGCCAAGAAAACACTGATTCTTCGCATGACGAAACCTATGAAACGATTGAAAGATGCGACCTTCATGGATTATTAAAACAGGAAAACAGTGAAATCGTCTCCCCTAGTCTAACCTATGATGCAAACAATCGGAACACCCGGACACTTCAGATTAGTTCGAACATCTATCGAAACCTAAAACAAATATGTCATCAGAACACCATTAAATTGAGCTCAGTTCTGCTTTATGTCTGGCATAAAATACTGAGCACATACGAAAACACCAACTATACAACCATTGCCACTATAACAAATGATATAGATGTTATTCCATCGGTAATGAACCATAAAGAACACAAGCTAGTCATCGATGCAATCAAGTTTATTTCGGAAAAATTGAACAAAATAGAAAGTCAAACAAATTCTGCTCAGCATATATTGACAACGACAAAATCAAAGGATTTCTTATACGATAGTGGATTCTTTTACAAATGTTATTCCACTACTGCTACTGATGCCGACCTAGAATATGCACCAGAAAACATTCAGCAACAATATCCTAATTGCAGATTGCAGCATCCTTTAACACTGAGAGCTTACGAAGCAGTCAACGACGAAACCCTAACATTAACTATCATCTACAATGGCGAATTATTTAGTCACGACGTCATTGATAACCTCGTAGTCACAGCTAAAGAATTAGTATTCCAAATTTCCAACAATCAACCAAAGCGAATTGCTGAACTGCACTTCTTGACAAAACAGCAATTAGAAATCATCGACTCTTGGAACCATAGGCAAATTCATCTCCCAATACTGAAGAACGACATAACTCTACACAAACTCTTCGAAGAAGAAGCAAAACTATCACCTGATAAAATTGCTGTTGTCTATGAAGACGTTAAGCTTACTTATCGAGATTTAAATGAAAAAGCTAATCGATTAGCACACTATTTACGATCGATCTCAAATATTCATCCAGATGATATAATTGCATTAATTTTGGATAAAAGTGAATTAATGATAATTAGCATACTTGGAGTATGGAAATCTGGTGCAGCATATGTTCCTATAGATCCTAATTATCCAGATGAACGAGTCAAATTTATTTTAGAAGATACAAAGGCAAAGATCGTGATAAGTAACATGAAATATTCAACTAGACTATATTCATATAATATAGCAAAAGTCGAAATTGATAGTTCAATAGTAAACGAATTCTTAAACAATACCAATATAACTTGTAATCTTGATGTTATCACAAAGGAACGTAACTTAGCCCATGTTATATATACATCAGGGACAACGGGAGCACCAAAAGGTGTATTAGTGGAACATCAAAGTGTGATATCCTTCAGAAACGACGTAAAGTATCGGTACTTCAGCGCAAACGAAGATAATCATGTGCCTGAAGTTATTTTGTTCCTATCGAATTATGTGTTCGATTTTTCGATTGAGCAAATTGTGCTCTCCATATTGAGTTTCAATACACTCATTATAGTGGGAAATCATTTTCCAATTGACGAGAGTTACTATGCTTATTTAAATAAAAATCGACTAACATATATCAGTGGAACACCGACTCAAATCGAACAAATGGATCTTGCTCAGCTTAAACATATAGCAACATTAAGCATTGGTGGTGAAGTGTTCAGTGCGAGAGCATTCGAGAGGATTCGAGGGCAGTTTGGTGGTAAAATATTCCATGTTTACGGAATCACTGAGACAACTGTTTATAATATGGTGTTTGACTATCAAAACGATACACAATATAAAAGTTCAATTGGGTCTCCATTGTCGAATACAAAGGGTTTCGTACTTAATAACGATATGCAATTGCTACCATTGTTTGCTGTAGGTGAACTTTACTTGACTGGCAATTGTTTATCCAGAGGCTTCCTCAACCGACCCGAGTTAAACGCTGAAAGATTTTTACCAAATCCATTTCAGACAGAAGAAGAAAAAAAAGTAGCAAAGAACGAACGAATTTATAAGACAGGAGATTTAGTTCGTTGGCTATCAGATGGTCAACTCCAATATGTTGGCAGAAATGATTGTCAAGTAAAGATCAGAGGATTAAGAATTGAACTAGGTGAAATTGAAGCTGTTTTATCATCTTATCAAGATGTGAAGCAATGTGTAGTTGTTGTGAGAGATAGCAAAGATTTAACTGCAAGTGGCACTTGCCGAAAATATATTATTGGATATTTTGTTTCCCAATCAATTCTTTTGGAATCTGATATAAAACATTATATGGAAAGCAAATTACCAGATTATATGGTACCAAATCGACTCATCCAAATAGAAAATATTCCGGTAAATACGAGTGGTAAAGTAGATTTGAAGGCTTTGCCTGAGGTCGATTTCTTGAAGCACCATGAAGAGTCGCTTGTTCCTCCGCGAGACGACCTCGAATGGAAAATTCTTCATATCTGGTCACATTTATTAGGAATACCCAGCACCAATATAAGTGTCCACGATGATTTTTTTGGTTTGGGTGGAGATAGTATCTTACTAATGAAAGTGGCACTTATGCTGAGTAATGTGTTATCGACAAAAATAAGTGTTAGTGCTGTATTCGCAAATAAAACAATCAAAAGCCTTGCGACACACATCCTTCATGGCCTTGATTATAATTCAGAAGAGAATAACCTCATAGCAAAATTGCGTGATGATTTTTCAACTGATCGAAATTACGTATTATCGTTTGCACAAGAAAGGCTACTATTTATAGATCAGTTTCATGGTAAAACTGGTAATAATGCTTATAATATACCGATATACCTACAAATTACCGATAATAATATCAAGCGAAATGTGTTGCATCAGTCTCTACGTGCCATTTTGAGCAGGCACGAGATACTAAGAACCCTAATAGAAGAAGATAAATCCGGAGTTTTTTATCAACATATACTCAAGGAAGAGGAAATCGATACACTTTTCAAAGTAGATGAAATTCAAGTTACTAATATAGAGCAGCTGGATACTGAACTAAATAAATTGGTTCAATATGTTTTTAACCTTAGAAAAGAATTGCCAATTAAAGTTACATTTTACGTAATGAAAAGCACAGATGAAGATGAAGAAACAACGCTCTACATGGGAATAGTCATTCATCACATCGCTTTTGATGGTTGGTCTTTGAATGTATTTTGGAAGGAATTGCAAACATTTTATGATTACTGTTACAGTCACATGTATCACTCCTTGACTCATCGGTATTTGTTTATTCATTTCGCATTCTTTGATGCTTTATTTCTCTCTATATATCTCTCCCTATACTTGGTGAAGGGGATTCAATCTGGAAATAAACGAACATCGAGAAGATACAGGGAAACCTCTAATATTTGGTGCCGTGACCCGTCTTCTCTCGATCATTTTCACATAACGTTGCAAACACCTGTGTATTGGAATTCTGTCACATGCATTAACTCTTCGGTACAATTCATTTTTTCCATTACTATTTACCTAAAAAAAAAAAACAAAAAACCCGAAAAACGACGTCTCAACAACGCAGACATTTGCGAAGCAACACCCAACCCGGTAACTTACTACCACACGATATAATCACATACGGGCGCATCCGACATCACGCTGTTCCTACGGATACAACTACTTCTTCACATACTATTTCAACTACCAATATGGAACTAAATCCTTTTCAAAATCTTCTTAATACAACTGCTTTAAAGGAACTACCCAAATTTACTGGCGATCCTAATCAGAAAGTTACTCAGTTTATTAATGCTGTTGAACACATCGGTAGCTTCGCTGGATTGAATGAATCGATGCTACATTCTATCGCTACTATTAAATTAGGAGGATCTGCCTTTAATTGGTATGATAACAATAAAGACCATCTACAAACATGGCGAGATCTAAAACAACACCTTCTTGAACGCTTTAAACCATCTCTTTCTGCTATCAAAACGCGACTGAAGGAAAGAAAACAACAACCTGGTGAACTACTTAACGCCTACTATGATGATATTATTGATTTATGTAAACAAGTTGATCAAAATATGCCGCTACATATGATCGTTGATTATTTACAAGATGGTATGCGCAATGATTTAAAAATACACGTCAAACGTCGCCTCAAAACGCTCGATGATGAACCAACACCAGGTATTTTTTGGAAGATCGCTCATGATGAAGAAGAGTTACTGAACGAAATTCCTTCTGAAACCCAACAATCAATCTTTCCAACATCCCCATATTTTGCACCTGCTACTGCTGTCACTCAAAAACAACAAAGCAGCTCTGAAAATTCTCTTCATTCACAAATCCCTCAAAATACTCGTACCACAGATTACATGCACATTCTTAACAAATCACGTGCCTATCGTCCTCGTCCCACGCAAACGAATCACTTCTATCCATGTTTGATCTGTCAACGATCAAATCATCGTACTATCGACTGCTATCATAGACAGCCACGTGGCTGTTACAAATGTGGTAACCATAACCATAATGTTCGTGATTGTCCCCAGGTTTTTCAATAACTGGGACTCAAGATGGCGGAGATCTCAGTAATACTATGCCATCATCATCAACATTCTCAAACCCTTTTTTTATATTCGTGCTCAAATCAATCACACCTATCATAATATTCTCCTGGACACTGGTTCCAGTATCACTATTATCCATAATCAATTTTTACAACGCATATATCACAATACGTTTGAACCTTCACAAAATTCTTATATCTCGGCTAATTGTACCACGATCAACATAATCGGTAAAGTTCAACTTGAAATAAAAATTAACGGTCTCTCCACTTTTGTAACGGCTTCTGTTGCTTCGAGTCTCGTCACTGATGTCTTAGTAGGCACTGACTGGATCAATCAATATGTTCTATATATGGATATCTCTACACAACGTTTAACTTTGCAAGATACTACAGGTCAAACTACCACCACTTCACTCATTCAATCGAACAATACATCATGTTGTACAGTCCGACTACTCGATCAAATTACTATTCCACAATACTCCGAATCTGTTATCAAAGCCGCAGTACATCTTCCAGATAGTTCAAATTTGTTGTTTGAACCGTCTTCAAGTTTTAGTCAAAAAGCAGTAGTACTTCCAACAGCTTTAATTAAAGTGACTAATTCTCAAACACACTTAACTATTATCAATACCACCAATCATCCATATATTTTACCTTCAAATACGTATCTCGGTACTGTTTCTTCATCATTACTAATATGTGCAACAACATCACCATATCAATCTCAGTCAACACAATTTCGATCACCAAAAAGACGTCATTATTCTCTGAATTCATCACATAAATGCTACGTCTGTCATCAGAAATTTTTATCACAAAACAATCTTTTTCATCATCTTCGTGTACAATGCTATCCGCAAGAATTACGACATCAAATTGAAACATTAACACAACACATCGACTCCGCCTCGCATCGCAAAAAAATCCAAGATGTCCTTTGGAAATACGGTAAACTGTTCGATCTACGTCAACCATCAAAAATCAATATCACTCTCGATCATGTGATCGATACCGGTCAACATCGACCAATCTACACTCCACCTTATCGACGTTCACCTCAAGATCATCAAACTATTACCGAAGAAACAGACAAACTGTTAAAACAAGATAGTATCGAACCATCACCATCACCTTGGTGCTCACCTGTCGTATTAGTGCGCAAGAAAGATGGTACTACACGATTTTGCGTTGATTATCGAAAACTAAATGATATTACTGTCAAAGATTCATTCCCGTTACCTCGCATCGAAGATATTTTCGATCAACTGTCTCAATCAACATATTTCACCACACTAGACTTTAAAAACGGCTATTTTCAAATTCCATTAGCAATTAATGATCGTCCTAAAACGGCATTTTCCACTCGCGATAATCATTATCAATTTAAAGTCCTCCCTCAAGGTGTAAAAAATGGTCCACCTACGTTCCAACGCATAGTAAACCAAATTTTAGGTCCTGCTCGATGGAAACATTGTCTAGCGTATCTAGATGATGTCGTCATTTTTTCGAGAACTTTTGACGATCATGTTTCTCATTTGGATGAAATCTTTTATTTACTTCACACACACAATTTTCGTCTAAGTTTCGACAAATGTACCATCGCTACTGATAACATCAATTATCTGGGTCGCCATATTTGTCGTGGAGAAATTCGTCCAAATAATGATAATATACGCGGTTTGTTGGAAACTCCAACGCCAACAACACCGAAAGAGATTTTTCCTTTTTTAAAAGGAGCCGAATACTACCGTAAATTCATTTCCAACTTTTCCCGTATTGCTAGTCCCTTATATAAATATAATCCTTCCAACTCTACACATCCATCTAATACTAAACCTACAATTTTACATTATCGGCTGATGAACAAGCTGCTTTCGAACAAATCAAACACATACTCACTACCGACCTTGTTCTTCGACTTCCCAATAATCAACTTCCTTTTAAAATACAAACAGATGCTTCACAACTTGGTATCGGTGCTGTTTTATTACAAACCTATCCTGAAGGTGATCGTCCTATATGTTATATGTCTAAGAAGCTTACACCTGCTCAACAACGCTGATCTCCTATTGAACAGGAGTGTTATGCGATCGTCAAAGCTGTTGAATTATGGCATCACTATTTACACGGTAATCATTTCATCTTAGAATCTGATCATAAACCATTAGAAGCACTCATGCGTAAATCTCAAACGAACGACAAATGTGAACGATGGCGTTTACGGCTACAATCATACAACTTCACAATAAAACACATCAAGGGTAAATCAAACACCATGCCGGATTATCTATCTCGATCACCAGTGCATCACGCCGAAGATGACATTGACGATAACGTTATGCCAACTTCTGCCTCTATCAGTACTCAAACTGATACAAGTGACCACGACACTTTTTCAACATCATCAATTGTCGGTATGGTCACTACTCGTTCTCGTTCTCGTCAATTACCACAATCCAATAATCATATTACCACTCCACCAAACACCAATCGCTCTGACGTTCAAAATCATCAATCAACATCATCAACTTCTAAAACTACTACTGATAGTGCACGTATTGGATATACTGGTGCTATTGATCAATTGAAACAAGCACAACAGAAGGACCCTGATCTACAATACATAGCGAATCATCCTAATGATAATAAGTATATTAACTCTTATCTTTTACAGAATGGTCTCTTAATGCATTATGAACAACACTCAAAACCTGTTCCATGTGTTCCGAAAGGAGAAATTCGAAATGATATTATGAAAATCTATCATGATACTCAAGCTAACGGCGCACACTTCGGTCGTGACAAAACTATAACGAAAATCAAAGCTCGATACTATTGGAATACCATGAACAGCGATATAA